CAGGTTATAAGCTGTTGTTTCTACAAAATGGATAAGTGACAAGACTTTTGTCAGGGACTGTAGGCTTTTAACTAGTTTGTTTTTAATCTATTTACCCATAAAGTTGCTTTTGACTTTATCGGTTCTAAAACTACTTATTAAAAGCCCATGTTTTAAGATAAACACATAACATTAATAAAAAATTTTGAAAGGCTCCCTTAAAAGGATCCCTTGAAATGATGTACATGTGTATGTGTACATACAGAAAGAACAGAATGCCTTCAGCTACTGCTAATACCGGCAGAGCTATAAAAATATTGTTGATCAAGGATAAATGAGCTTTGCCCTGTGTAAATATGATGGCTGATGAAGAGCAGCAAGTTAAGGGGTAAGATGGAGGTAAGTCACCCTGAGTCAAAGTGATGTCTTCTGGCTTCACTCCATATTTGATAGCTGCTCTCTGTCGGGCCTCGTCCTTGCTCCGTCCCCAAACCCACTGCTCCTGCCGCATACAACACAGAGACACACTGAAACTTGCACCACAGTCAAGGACAAACTGACAATGGTATACATATAGAGTATACAGCAGCTAGTTAATCCATAAATCCAACCACTCATCTATTTCTATACCAGTTTTCCTCTATTCAGGGATGACAGGGCCTGAACAGTCCAACATGGGGACATATATGAACATAACATTACGCACTAGTATTATTGTTATATATATGGTGTTTACATCCACAGACCCAACCTCTTGTTTGTCAGTAGAGTTAGGAAGCTCCACTTGGTAAGCAGGGATCTGATGACCCCACCATAGCTGCCTGGAAATGCACCAATCACTGCAAGACCAACAGAGGTACATTGTTGACCACCAATACGTTGAAACAAGAGCTCATTCATCATCATTGTGGTGTCAAGGTCAGGACAGTCTACCTGATGTTGGACAGCCAGTTCTTCCATGTCTTGGTGTAGAAGTGAGGGATGATTTCCAGCTGTCTGTCCTCCACAGCCTGACAGGAAAAGAAATGGTCACGTTTAACAAATGTTTTCAAAGGGTTCAAAGATGAGATGATATTACTTGACTACTATATGACATGGTTACTAATCAATATCAATATCTCACAGCCACCAACCCACCTGTGTAGCCTTTTTAGCCATTTCATCACAGTGGATGTACCACTGCTTCTTTAGAAGAGGTTCAATGATATCTCCTGAGCGACTGAGACCGGGAGGAAGGAGGAAACACATAGGGAGCAGAGAGAAATCACAGATGTATAAGAATATTACACATTGCAGCCTCTATTGTCTATATGAATATATCTATCATTTAGTAAACTGACGACCTCTGACTAAGTGACATAGTTTATAGATTTCCCAAGTGCAAAAATATACAAAAAAATACTAGATAGTAGATATGTATTTGCATCTTGCTGTACTGAAAAAACTCTGGTGTCTGTTGTGAACTGGGTCAGTGTACTTTGCAGTGAATGGATTTTTGTATTGAAATGCGAAAACCAAAACCAAAACAGCTTGTTTCCTGTCTAGCATTTATAAATAGGGGAACAAAAAAAGAGTTTGGGGCTTTTATTTAGAAAAAAAAGGAAAACGGGCTGTTTTCTGTTTTTTGTTCCCCTATTTATAAAATGGTAGTTTCCTGATTTTAGTTTTCTCATTTCAAAACGAAAATCCATTGGCAAGTACACTGACCAGCTAGACTGACTGACTGACTGGCTGAAATGAAAAGGGCGCGTTTTCCATTCTGCTTTGCAACTGGTAAACCCAGTTTGAAGTGTAATACTGTGCAGATGATCTTACACATACCAAGGTTTACATAGGCGATCTGAGTGAGGGTCTAAGATACAATTAAAAACGTCCAGGATAATTGGTAATTATAATCAATTTCCAGGCATAACTGGAAAACTATTCTCTAAATTTCCAGGGAAGCCTGCCAGGAGCAGAGACACACATGCACTTTCTGTGTTTAAGCCAGAATGAGCCTGGTGTTGTGAGCGCCTTTGTGCGTGCATGTTCCACTACCTGCAGACAGGTAAGGTCATGGCGTGACTCTTCTTTCCTCTGAACAGTTTCTTCTCAACCAGGGCATCCACAACGAACTGTCTAGCATCAAATCGCTTCACCCCCTTAGAAGAGACAAACAGCTGGGATGAAAATACACCAAACCCTGAGTTGTTTTACAAGGCCTGTTATTTTCTTATGTTGCAACCTGAGACAGCTGACATATCAAGATAAAAGACTCTTCAACATTCTGTATGGTTATACAATGTTTACAGATAGTGACAGACATGCACCTCGAGCCACTGCCCACAGGGGGGCCTCATGGTGCCATCTCCTCCAATCACAGTGAGGCGTGGCAGTGAGTGTCTCTGTGACAGCAGGAAATCAGTGTGGTCATGAGCAGGAGTCACCTTCACTGCACCTGCAAAACACAAACACAGGGAACTGATCAACACAAGTAGTTCACATACACCGATCAGCCATAACATTGTGAGCACTGACAGGTGAAGTGAATAACACTGATTATCTTATTTAATGGCACCTGTCAGTGGTGGGATATATT